TTAATTCAAACCTTGGATGAAGGCCTGTACTGCCCAGTCATTGGATACTGGCGGTAGTTCTATTCGTTCTATTTGAAAGCGAGACACGAACTCTCGCATCATCTCGTTCTCCCTTTGCTTGATTTTGAAGACGCCAGATTTCCTTGTGGCCACCTTGATGGCCCCGACATGTGCTTTTATGAAAGAATCTGCCAGCATGGCAAATGAGTCTATAGAGTTAGGAGCTAGGTTGTGATACCACATCATGGACCCTTTCGAGAGTGTTTCCCCGAACTTTTTCAGTAGGACGGACTCGATCTCATCGTCCCTCAGGCCGTTACCTTTCACCGCACAGGTGTAATCAGTGACATGCTCGTTGGGGTCCGAGGTTCTGTTATACTTCGGAAGGTCGGGCATTCTAAACTTCTTTGGAATGGGTTTCGGAGCAGCTTCCTGCGGGATTGGCTTTTGTACAAACATCTTCGAATCTACACCCTTCAGGATGGGGGTGCGCCCGGGATTTGGTCGACCCTAGAGTTGTAGGTTTCTACATTCTTATCGTTGGCTTCTATCTTTTTCTCGCCCAACTCGATCCTCTTGGTGAGGTCCTCGAGCATCTTTATGATGGAGGGGTCGGTTGCCTTCCGTTATTATTTGATCTCTTTGGTACCTGCTCGGCTGGGAGGGGGGTCGTCCCCGGTGCTACTGTGCTGGGAGTTTTCTGGTGACTTTGCAGCTTAGCAATCGCTAGCTGTTGTGCCTGTAACATTTCAAAAATAATGTGAAGACTAACCTCCCATTCTTCCCTAGTCGGGGTTTTTTGGACTTCTTGTTGCTCTACTTGATGTATGCTCCTGTTGGTGTGGGAGCTTATATTGATGTGTTGGGCATCGCGTGAGACCGCGCCCACGGGAATTGGTTCTGGTGCATTTCTAGGGTTTCGTGGTGGTACGCAAACACCTGGAACATTCACACCGTTCTCTCCGTGGTCCTCAAGATTGTTGTTTTCACCTCCATTTACTGAGTTAGACATTTTGACCTGAAATCGAAGATCTTGGACAAGACAAAGCATGAAGGATAACTTGCGTTATATAGTGAAACCAACAAGAAAATAATCACTATTATTTTTAGCTCCACGGTAGGCGCTAAACTGTTTACCGTGAAAATGGTAATAATAATTAAATTTGATTATGAAGTTCTAAAAGTACGTGATCTATTTTTATGCTAGTTGTAAACCAATGGATGCTAAGTAAAACGTTAGGAATCAAGATTATAGCTTAGAAACGGTATGATAATCGAACCAAATGATTGGAGATCGGGGGTCTCGAGCTGTCATTTATAAGACCTCGGGGTCGAGCTGGATGGCCGATTTGGAGCAGTCGAGAGGGAGATAACAGTTATGAGAGCTATGCTGATGGCTCTTTATGATCAATGATAAATAATAAATGAAGAACAATAAATAGAACACAATAAATAGAAGTAATAAATGAAGTAACGAAATCAAGAGAATGTATTAGAGAGCAGAGAGAATGTTCTTGTGTATTTAGTATTGAGCAACAGATGTCTACAAAATGACAAGGATCCCCTTTATATATGAGAGGGAATCCCAATATAGTACAAGTGCATTGATTGAAAAGATATGGGCTGGTACAACCATTTAATGTCTTGATTCGCTTTTGGACTAGTCCACTAGGCTTTGTCAGCCATATTTACGCGCCTTGGGAACTCCCCATCATAACCGCTGAGTAGTATTGCCTCGAGGTTAAGTGCCGATAGCCCTTCGGTGGTCAGCCTCGACCATAGCCTCGAGCTCTCGAGATGTGCTCACGAGTCATCGTGACGACGGAAGATTGGACCCTCCGATTTTGCCGTATACACATGGTATAAGACGCATTCAGCCATTGCGATTTATAAGTCGCATTCATCAATTTAATAAGTCGCACTCACTGTTGTGATTTATAAGTTGCAATCACCAATTGCGGTTTTTAAGTCCATGCACAATAGCCATTTTTTAGACACATCACCAATTGCTATTTATAAGTTGTATTCGTAAATTGCGATTTATAAGTCGCACGCATATCTATCCTTGCCGTTATGCTTTCTCTTTAAGTCTTATTTTTGCTGTCAAAAACTGGTGAAGCTAGCACACAGCTTTTCCTACCATTGATATCAAAATCCTTGTCATCAAAAATTAATGCTTGAATCAAGAACAAATGGAAAGTCTCTCTATATAGAATATATTTTGGAATTCATATTATTTCCTTCAAGAATAACTTTTCTGAACATCATAATCTGCCTTCTTTTATCAATTGTGTCTCTAGTTTCGTATAGTTGTGAAGAGACTATTCTTTTGAATTGGGAGCAACCTTCTACTTTTGCTGTGTTATTATCAACCTTACTTTGAATTTGAAGAACGTCATTTAATAGTTCCAAAAGGCACATTTGGATCTTAACGATTCTCAAGTCCCATTTTATGCCATGTTGGATTGCTACACATACTCGTGCATGTCATTTCAACTTCTACGACATAATTTTGGTGGATACAAAGTTTAAGAAATAATCGCTGACTTTTAACTATGTCATAACATTTGTATATTTATATATAAAACGTTTAAAACTTGTAGTTCAAGTATGTCATAAGATTTGTGTCACATAAGGATTCAAGATTCGAAAATTATGAGTTCAAGTTCGATATTTTATTATATAGCATTTGTTTACTGAATTCGAAATCTATTATTTAGTAAATACTTTAACTCGGGGCGGATCTACCTGGAGAGATAGGGGTGATAAGGCACCCGCACGCTTCGGCTCAAATTTTGAAAATGTATCTATATATCTTGTACGAAAAAGATACTATATAAATTAAGTGCCACCCCTAATGTAAAAAGGCGAGTCGGGTGCCACTAGTTCAGCGAAAACTTTAAAAGTCTTTTTGTTCCTAAAGAACCCGAGGTGACGCATTAACTTGATGTTCTTTTCACTTTCCTTGTTTTTATTCTTTTTTATTCTTTGTTTCCTCTTACGTCAATATAGGCTTGACTCGTTGGTCCAACCCAGTCCAGTCCATGATTTAGTAGAGTTGGGCTAAAATTTTTGGAGTCCATTTAAAAATGAGGCTTTTAAACCCAGCCCAAGTAAGCTCGTGGCCCGTGAGACTTGAGTGAGGCTAGGTTGGGCCAGCCCGTGTGCCTAAAAAAATACGTATTTAAAATATATAAAATAAAAAAGGTATATAACACAAAAAATAACATGGAGAGTATCCCAAGCTTAAAGTTTATTAAGCTCATCATATTGAAAGATCAAAGTCTTAAAACGTTAATTAGTTTAAAATTTTAATTATTCTTAATATTTAACTAATTAATATCGCATATGAATTGTAGAAGTAGATGAAAGTGAAGATGTTAAGATAACATTCTCACAAGTGGATTCAAATGTGTTTGATGAAGAGGTTGTGTGGATATCCCATAAGCGTATGGATGTTCTCTTGAATACTTTTATTTGAGTTTGACTTTTAGTGAATAAAATATAGTCTTGCCTTTTATTTTTTTAGTGTTTATTGTGATGTATTGGAACAGTATAATAGTTATTAAGTTTTGTGAAATTTTTCCAATAAGATTTTTTTAACTTTTAAATATTTATCTTTTTTAAGTTAGAACTTAAAGAAAAAATATAAAATTATATTTTAAAAAATAATGGGCCGGCCCGTGGGGCCCGCAGCCCACATAGGCTGGGGTGGGTTGACCATTATAAGGCCCATCAAAATGGTGGGCTAGCCCAGCCCAATCGTCAATTACTAAAGCCCATGCGGGTTGGGCTGGGCTGGGCGGGGCCGCCCCGCCTATATTGACAACACTATTTCCTTTGTCGAGCTCTAAGCTTCACCTTCTTTTTCTTCCTTTTATTTGCTATATTTCCCTCTCTATTGTTCTTCTTTCTTTTTCTTTTTCTTTTTCTCTTCTTCCTTTCTTTTTTAAAAAATCTTTGCATTAACCGTCTTTTCTTCTCTACCAATATGCTCATTTGAATTAAATTTAGTTAATTGATAGTATCTCCTTTTTTGGATGACGCGACATTATTCTATATACATACTGGAGTATAATTGAGCAATATCACTCTCTTTTATTGATTTTTTTAAAAAATAAATGGCTTGAGTAGTTGACATTTTTGAGTTTATTCTCATATAGTGAAAATTTGAAGCTTTTGCTTTGTAAAGAATTGCTATACAGACTTGGAAACTAAGATGTAAATATATAGTTTATACAAAGAGTGGCATCCGCATCTCTAAATTCTGAATTCGCCTCTGATTTAAACACATATACAATATTCTAGAAAAAATTATATATTAGTACAAAATAAAAATTCGTTATTAAAGATAAAATGAGAAATTTCCTCACATATGAGATCTAACCATTGTTTTTTTTTTGGGGGT